TCTCTTTCTTCGATAGAGCTACAAGCTTGGTAGATGCGGGGAATGCCGTGGATGTAGCGTACCTGGATTTCAGTAAGGCCTTCGACAAGGTCCCCCATGACCTTCTGGCAAGGAAACTAGTCCAATGTGGGCTAGGCAAAACTACGGTGAGGTGGATCTGTAATTGGTTAAGGACGAACACAGAGAGTGCTCACTAATGCTTCCTCTTCATCTTGGAAAGAAGTGACAAGTGGAGTGCCACAGGGTTCCATCCTGGGCCCGGTCCTGTTCAACATCTTTATTAATGACTTAGATGAAGGGCTAGAAGGCATGATCATCAAGTTTGCAGACGACACCAAATTGGGAGGGATAGCCAATAGTACGTGTGAAAAAGATCTTGGAGTCCTCATGGACAACAAGTTAAACATGAGCCAACAATGTGATGTGGCGGCAAAAAAAGCCAATGGTATTTTGGCCTGCATCAATAGGAGCATAGTGTCTAGATCTAAGGAAGTAATGCTACCCCTCTATTCTGCTTTGGTTAGACCACACCTGGAATATTGTGTCCAATTCTGGGCACCACAATTCAAGAGAGATATTGACAAGCTGGAATGTGTCCAGAGGAGGGCGACTCAAATGATCAATGGAGAACAAGCCCTATGAGGAGCGGCTTAAGGAGCTGGGCATGTTTAGCCTGAAGAAGAGAAGGCTGATAGGAGATATGATAGCCATGTATAAATATGTGAGAGGAAGCCACAGGGAGGAGGGAGCAAGCTTGTTTTCTGCTTCCTTGGAGACTAGGATGCGGAAAATGGCTTCAAACTACAAGAGAGGAGATTCCATCTGAACATTAGGAAGAACTTCCTGACTGTGAGAGCCGTTCAGCAGTGGAACTCTCTGCCCCGGAGTGTGGTGGAGGCTCCTTCTTTGGAAGCTTTTAAGCAGAGGCTGGATTGCCATTTGTCAGGGGTGATTTGAATGCAGTATTCCTGCTTCTTGGCAGGGGGTTGGACTGGATGGCCCATGAGGTCTCTTCCAACTCTTTGATTCTATGATTCTATGATTCTAATACAATTGTCTGGTTGCCCCTGACACGATAAATAAATAAATAAATACAGGGTGTCACCATAAATTGATGCTGATTTGACAGCAAATAAAGATAAAAAAGAAACGCAAGTGAGGATAACAAGGAAGTTTAGGAATTGTTAAGCAACTTAATCCTGTCAGTACTCTTCAGCAATCCAAAAGTTAATTATTTGCATTTTAAAAAGTATTTGTTTATTAAAAAAGAGGAACATGAGATAGAAAGAGGAAATTATCTTGGTGCCTGTTTCCTGCTTCGCATCATGAAATTAGAAACTGTGCGGGAACAATGCTACAGTATTCACTTTATGACGACTGTCTTTATGCCAGCTGTTGAAACATTATTCTTTGGAAATGGAAATGGATACTTTGCCAGAACTCACTAAGCGTTTTCACCTTCCTCCATTTGCTGAGTTTGCTGATGTGGCAGTTTACTCCTGCCTGCAAAAATGTGCTGTGATATTTCGCTCCATCGCTTCATCTGACTGACTGTTGGCCTCAAGCTTAAACCTTGCCAAACAGACTAGGAAAGAAGAGAGGAGAGAGTCAGAAACAGGCTGGGGAAAATGCAAAAGGGAATGTAAACCAGTGGGTTAAATTTCACAAGAAGAGGCCTTAAGGAAAACTACTATGGGTTTCCCTTGCACTTATTGCTGTTTCTGTTCTACAACAGTCAGCACAAAACAAACTAAGCTGCAGGGAATAATGAAAGTATGAAGAATATGTGAGTCGGTGGGAAAGTAGGGAGGGCTTGGGTGTTTATGACACAATGCAACTAGATGAACTTGATTCACACACTGGAAGCAGAGAGAGGATAAGACAGTGATGTGCTATGCAATTTAACTCCTTTTATAACTCTACAAATTGAGGTGGCAATTTTATATGCAACAAATAAAAATGGATATTTTGCTCTGGTCATATCTAGGGTTCCTTATTGCAATGTGTTGTATTTGGGACGGACCTTGAAAACTGTTGGAAAACCTCCTGTGATTCAAATACCAAATGATGTACAATTGATATCCCGAGCATATCACACCAGCATTAGAAGTGCTGTCTGTTTATCATTGGCATCCCCCAAATTAGACTGTTTGTGTCCTGAGCAATTGTGTCTCAAGCTTTTGTTATCTCTTAGGCACTGAAGTCTGGCATGTTCTTTCAGATTCTTAAAGAAATCTTGGCTAGAATTTTTCAAAATAACTTTTCTTGATATTTATTTTATAGGCTCAGTATTTATAAATGACACTGAATTTATGTTCTGTGTTGTCATTTCTATAGTGTTTTTTTTAAATATTTTGTTATCTTGTTATCTTGTTTTGCATTATGAACCACCTTTAAACAAGCATGCAAGATAACAAAATAACGGCATAACTCTCACACGTGTGTCTATTTAAGCTATATCTATTCATCACATCATGCCTCAGGAAGATAGTATGATTTTTTTTTCAAATTCTATCAGATACTTTCTTGCCTGACCAAATTATAATCAAGATTTTGCAAGTCCATTTACTATTCTTGTTACATCACACTACTGTGTGAGTTTCATATTTGTGTGGGACACATTCCTAGACAACACCAAAAAAACATGGATCATAGTGAATCTATTGGAAAGAAGGATTTTGGCCAAAGAATACCATAGCATTCTGCTGCAAGACCTAGGAAATGTCTAGAGAGGCTATATTGTATCAGAAGTAGCTAATGGATCTACAGGTACTAGTTTTACAGATACGATAGTTCTAATACTGCTTAGGTAAGGGAAAGATTATTATCATGGTTGAAAGCAGCGGAGGGCGATGCACTAATAATAACCATAGAGTAGTAAATGACTTTGGCTTGTTGTTGTTCATTCGTTCAGTCATTTCCGACTCTTTGTGACCTCATGGACCAGCCCATGCCAGAGCTTCCTGTCAGCCATCATCTTTAGCTTAGATACTCCAAAAGCATACAGACATTTTAATAAATAATTGAAGTTGGAATAATATCAGTATTGTGCAAAAGTGACAATGAGCAGTGATATACTGCAAGTGGCTCTGCATTCCTGACTGGTGTTCACACCAAGTAGGAAGACTGATGTGAAATGGTCACCTTTGTGAGTAACAAGTACAGGCAGTCCGCAAGTTATGAATGAGATAGGTTCTGTAGGTGTGTTCTTAAGTTGAATTTGTTTCTTAGTTAGAACAGGTACGTTTTTAAGTGTAATTCCAGCTAAAAACATATCTATCTATCTATTAGCTTTGGATAGCCCAAGAGGGCGGGAGCCTCACCCATCCCAAGATCCCATCGCCCTGAGCCACAGCAGTTCAATGCGACTTAAACAATGTGCAGTCATTGAATTATTGACAGCAGAAGGTGTCACCTCAACATCTTTAAACTTACTCACCCAACAATGCACAGTACTCACTTCAACACAATCACCATAAATAGCTTGTATTCTCTGATGAATCTCCTTTGGGGTGACACCTGCTGTCAAGAATTCAATGACTGCACGTTGCTTATGTTGCATTGACCAACCCCCTGCGCAGGGTTCCATACTTTGCACTTTAACAACACAACCGTTCAATGCTAAGGCTTCCCGCCAAAATGGGTCTGTAGAGGAGAGTCTACTGAACAAGCCAGTACCTGCCACATACCAGTACTGCCATCATTTGAGGAGTTACGAAGGTGGAGGGATTACTTTTCATTCAATCCTTGTACACCAGGCATGCGCAAACTTGCTTTCTAGGTGTTTTGGACTTCAACTCCCACAATTTCTAACAGCCCCAGGCCCCTTCCTTAAGCTTAAGCAGCTGAGGGGGGAAAGGGGACTGAGGCTGTTAAGAATGGTGGGAGTTGAAGTCCAAAACACCTGGAGGGAGGGCCAGTTTGCCCCGGCCTGGTCTACACTAAAATGAATGTAGTTTGACATCACTTCCAACTGCCCTGAATCACAGGAGTTGCCCTTTTCCAAGACTTTTAGCCTTCTCTGCCAGAAACAGTGCTGGTGCCTCACCATACTAAACATCCACAGCATTGAGCTATGGCAGTCAAAGTGGTGTCAAACTGGGCTAACTCTACAGTGTGGCGCATACCCCCAACAGCACCAGCAACGCTGCTACAACGCTTAAGCGGCTGAGGAGGAAAAGGAAGGGGCCTGAGGCTGTTAGGAATGGTGGGAGTTGAAGTCCAAAACACCTGGAAGGAGGGCCAACGTTTGCTGTAAAATGAATGTAGTTTGACATCACTTCCAACTGCTCTGACTCCTTGCTATGGAATCACTGGAGTTGCCCTTTTCCAAGACTTTTAGTCTTCTTTGCCAGAGATGTGCTGGTGCCTCACCAACTAAACATCCACAGCATTGAACTATGGCAGTCAAAGTGGTGTCAAACTAGTGTGGTGCATACCCCCAAAAGCATCAACAACGCTTCTACAATGTTTAAGCGGCTGATGGTACATCTTTTTGGAGCCAGCCCTGCTTTTTGTTTTGCTCTTGGAGGCTGGCTCCAAAAAGATGAACCAGGGTGCATCTATACGAGGCATGGGCAAACTTCGGCCCTCCAGGTGTTTTGGACACCAACTCCAACCATTCCTAACAGCCTCTGGCCCCTTCCTTAAGTTTAAGCAGCTGAGGGGGAAAAGGAAGAGGCTGTTAGGAATGGTGGGAGTTGGAGTCCAAACCAGCTGGAGGGAATTTGCCCAGGTCTGGTAGAAGAGTTTTGGGGGCGAAGTTGGAAAGTTCAAAAAGGAGAATGCCTCTTTCCAGGTGGAAGAGGGAAGCCTTGAGGAGTGGGTGGCTTGACCCACTGGCCTGAGAGAAGCCTCTGGGCGGGAAAAGGCGACCCCGGCCCCTGAGCCTGAAAGGGAGGGCAAGGCCACGGAGGGAGGGAGGCGGGGCTCGGAGGGGCTCTCCTCCTCCTCCTCCTCGCCCCTTCCTTCCCCTCCTCCTTCGCCGTGAAGCGCCACCCTCTTCTCTCTCTCCCTCCCTCCTTCTCTTTTCCTCCGTCCGCCTTGAGGCGCATCCATCCCGGAGGGGACGGGGCCGACCCAAGCTGCGTGTGGCCAGAGGACGCGTCCCTCCGCTTTCTGGCCATGGAGTGAGTGAGTGAGTGAGGAGGGCTGAGCGGCGGGAGAGCGGAGCGGAGAGGTAAGCGCCTGCCTGCCTGCCTGCCTCTTGCGCCTGGGCATCCTTCGCGCGGGACCCTCTCGGGGAAGTGGGAAAAAGGACACGGGTGGGGTGAAGAAGTGGGGAACAGCCTCGCTTTGCTTAGAGAAGAGGCTCCCACCACTCAGGGGCATCCTTCCTCCACCAGGGTCCTTCGTAGGCGGGAGTGAAGAAGAGCCCGGCGCTCCCAAAGTGGGACTGCTCTGCTTTGCGCCTTTGCTTCGAAGTCCACGCTCCAAAGCAGGCATCCCCAAACTGCGGCCCTCCAGCTGTTTGGGTCTTCAACTCCCAGAATTCCTGACAATTCAGCAAGCTCGTTAGGGCTTCTGGGAGTTGGAGGCCCAAACAGCTGGAGGGCCGCACTTTGAGGATGCCTGCTCCAAAGGATACCTTGTAACTCGGGGGAAAGTTGCAACTTCAGGAAAAGTTCGGCTTGGGGAAGGCAGAGGCGTGCTGCTTCCCTTCCTCTCTCTCTCCCTCTCTCTCGCTCTTTCTCGTTTGTAAATCCCTGCCATCGTCGTGGAAAAGCCTCCAAATGATTCATTTCCCTCCATCTCGAAAAAATGCGAGGCGTTGGGCCCGGAATGTGTTTTTGTATCGTATGTGGGCGAGGGAGAGGCCCCTTCCACACAGCTGAATAACATCCCACATTGTCTGCTTTGAATTGGAATATATGGCAGTGTGGACTCAGGTAACCCACTTGGGCGAGAGAGAGGCCCCTTCCACACAGCTGAATAACATTCCACATTATCAACTTTGAACTGGAATATATGGATTCAGATAACCCAGTTCAACGCAGATATTGTGGGATTTTCTGCCTTGATATTTTGGATTATATAGCTGTGTGCAGGGCCCAGGGAGGGAGAGAAAGTATAAGTGTTGTTGATGCTTTTGGGGGCAGACGCCACACTGTAGAGTTAGCCCACTTTGACACCACTTTGGTGGCCATAGCTAAATGCTGTGTATGTTTATTTTGGTGAGGCACCAGCAATGTATTTGGCAGAGAAGGCTAAATGTCTTGTAAAAGGGCAACTCCCATAGCAAAGAATCAGAGCAGTTGGAAGTGATGTCAAACTACATTCATTTTAAAGTGTAGATCAGGCAAACTGGCCCTTCAGGTGTTTTGGACTTCAACTCCCACCATTCCTAACAGCCCCAGGCCCTTTTCTTTTCCCCCTCAGCTGCTTAAACTTAAGGAAGGGAGCTGAGGCTGTTAGGAATGGTGGGAGTTGAAGTCCAAAACACCTGGAAGGCCAGAGTTTGCCCATGCCTGGTGTAGATGCACCCTTTTTGGAGCCAGCCTCCAAGAGCAAAACAAAAGCAGGGCTGTGTTGCTGTGAGTTTTCCAGGCTGTGTGGCTATATTCCAGAAGCTTTCACTCATGACATTTTGCCCGCATTTATGGCAGGCATCCTCAGAGGTTGTTAGGTCAGACCTCACAACCTCTGATCATGCCTGCCATAAATGCAGGCCAAACATCAGGAGGGAATGCTTCTGGAATATGGCCACACAGCCCGGAAAACTCACAACAACCCAGTGACTCCGGCCATGAAAGGCTTCAACAATAAAAAGCAGGGCTAGAAGCTTAATTTGAAGTTACTACATTTTAAAAAAGAAAGCAAAACTGCTTCACCTTTGAAGGGCTTTTGCATTTTGGGGGAGAAGTTTCCACACCTTGCACCCAGTTTTGGGTCTTTACAGCAGGAGCCAGTGGCTGTCTACTCAGAGAAGCAAGTCTCCTTAAGGTCAGTGGGACTTACCCCCAGCTACAGAGTGGAGACATCGATCTCCACTTTTACAGGCCATGCTGAGATGTACCAGAGACATGTGTGAACGTTGTTATGGTGAGGAGAGATTGCAGAAAAGGAAGTTTGCTCTTCTGTACCTCTATGAAGCAGTATGTGTTCTTCCCAGGTGACTCCAAGGATATAGCTGGACTGTAGTAGAATTAATGCAGTTTGACGCCACTTTCACTGCTTTATTTTTATGTATTTCACCTCAAAAGCATTGCATAAAAATTATGAAACTGAGAAAATAGAGGGAGCACACACAGCTAAAATTTCCCTGCTGTGAACCCATGAGAGTTGTAGTTTTTCAAGGTCTTGGCCTCTTCTGTCAAAGAGTACTGCTGCCTCACTAAAGTACAACTCCCAGGATTCCATTGCATTGAGCCATGGCAGTCAAAGTGGTGTCAAACTGCATTATTTCTACAGTATCGATGCACCCCATGGCTGCCTATGACTAACATTGGGGAGAAAACTACAGGAAGTTTCAGAAATCTTCCCCTCGAAAGGGAAGATTCACTCCTGGAAGAGTTATCATGGGAAAAGGGGGTCTCCAGTGAAGCTTTCTAGCTGGTTCTTGTATTCACAACAAGCCAAATTGTTCAAAATCCAATTCTCACTGGGACAGAAAGTGAGGTGAAATCTTCTGAACAGGAACACAGACAGCAAAACAAACACCACAGGGTGTTAACCCTATCACATGCTATGCGAAATGTGTGTGTGTTTGTGTGTGTGGCTGGAGTTACACTTAAAAATGTGCATGTTCTGACTTACATACAAATTCAACTTAAGAATAAACCTACAGAACCTATCTTGATCATAACTTGGGAACTGCCAGTAGTGAGAAAGGGCCCTAAATTCCATAGGAGTACTTATATACAATTGTATATGTCTAGATTTTTTTTTCAAAAAATAGACCCCAAAAAACCTGGGTTGACTTATGCATAGGTCAGTGTAAGTACTGTGTATGAGTATCTTAACTCATACAAAAAAGGAACTATCTCTAAGTGAAGTGATGAAAGGAAGATTTTAGTCCATCCCAGGAGGACCTAAAAGAAGCACACACCCCTCTCCTGTCTCCACTATGGTAATGCATCTGGACTTCTTGGATGTCCGGGTGGTGAAATGGCAGCAGCAGTCAGGACTGGCTAGTCCCCCCAAGGCAACACTGGTACATTCTCCTCCCCATGGAATAACCCTTGATTTATCCACAGGTCATATCAAAATCCATAATTTTGCCCCCAAAGCTCCTCTTGACTTATATGTGAGGTTGATTTGATGATGATGATGATGATATCCTTTATTTATATTCTGCTCTATCTCTCCGAGGGGACTCAGGGAAGATTATAGTAAACATATGCAGCAAACATTCAATGCCATTATACAATTAACAAAGACAGACAATACATAAACAGAGGTAAAGGCTTCCAATCTTTTCCCATTATTAATTATGATGATGATGATAATCATCATCATAATAAGGTGGAGCCCTCTTCTCTGGCACCAGATTGCATCTGATCTTGGAAACTAAGCAGGGTCAATATTTGATTAGTCTTTGAACGGGAGGTAATCAATAATACTGAGGTGTTGTAGGTTACATTTCAGAGGAAGACCCTGGCAAAACACCTCTGAGTATTCTCTGCCTAAGAAAATGATATTAAATTCATTGGAGCCATTATAAGTCAACAGACAACTTCAAGTTGTGTACACACACATACTTTCTTGTTGCTTATTGTATTTGCATTATATTTTGAACATACTTGGGGATGTGGTAGAATAGGATTGCAGCATCTGTAGATACACCTAAGAGATCTGTTTTTCATCAAGCTGAGAAAATCTTCCAGCCGCTGTGCCTACTGATGGGAGCTGATGTGGATAGACTCAGCAGGTCTACCCTATTGAGTGTGTTGTGATCTGCTATTCTGAACCACTCAGCCAGAAGGGTTGTAATTCTATTTCTGTAATAATCTCTGAAAGAATCCTCTCTCTAACAAGACAGTATGTGAAAAAAATGTGTGAACCAATAGCTCTGGATGAAGAGGAAAACAGAGGTGCATATTTACCTGTAAGGAAGACACATCAAAAATAATTGGGTTTTATATGAGAACAGCATTGTGTTGTTTAACATTTTAAAGGGAACTTGAGTTCCACTTTTATTAAGTAGATGGGATATCCCTTCAGAATTCTCAGAGACATTTCACACATGCCATTGAAAGTGCTTTTGGACATCTCTGGAGCAGGATGTCAAGAATATTATAGAGATATCCAATAAYGGAGCTCCATGCAGTCATGCTGGCCACGTGGCCTTGGAGGCGTCTACRGATAACACCRGCTCTTTGACTTAGARATTGATATGAGCRCCATCCCCCAGAGTTGGAYTTGACTAGACTTAATATCTAGAAGATCCAACCAGTCCATACTYCAGGAAATAAAGCCCRACTGCTCATTGGAGGGAAGGATATTAGAAGCAAAGATGAAGTACTTTGGCCACATCATGAGAAGAAAGGAAAGCTTAGAGAAGACAATTATGCTGGGGAAAATGGAAGGAAAAAGAAAGAGGGACCGACCTAGGGCAAGGTGGATGGATGGCATCCTTGTAGTGACTGGATTGACCTTGAAGGAGCTGGGGGTGATGACGGCCGACAGGGAGCTCTGGCATGGACTGGTCCATGAGGTCATGAAGAGTTGGAAACAACTGAACAAATGAACAACAGACTTAATATTAAGGAAAAACATTTACCTTTTTTAATCCAATAAGGCAGTTATTAATACATAAATTAATACAGGTAATAGCTGTAATAAAGCAACAGTCTTGTAAATACTGGTCACAAAGAAAAGGGGGGTTAAATGTAAGAACTTCCCACTTGGAAGCATGCATATCTGTGGGGGTGGCTGTAGGGGAAGCTGAAAACAGAAATGCAGGGATGAGAACAATTGCAGGAAAGTTGCCTTTTGCTTTAGATATTTGTGAATTCATAACTGCCTTATTACAGAGATGACCAATACAAATATTTGAGACTAAATCTCTGAGACTGAGAGAGTGTGACTTGCCCACTCAGTGGGCTTCATAGCTAATTGTATATTTGAATCCTGGTCTCCAGCGTCATAGTCCAATGCTCAAGCCATGTTGACTTCATCTGAGATTTACTCCCAAGTATTTGTATCTATCAACTACTCATTAGAACAGTGGTTCCCAAC